ATGTTGTGACCAGGATTAAGAAAGGAATGCTTCGGTGGTTTGGTCACGTAGAAAGAATGAATGAGGAAAGAGTGACAAAGCAAATTTATATGGCAGATGTGAATGGCCAAGTCGGGAAGGGACGCCCTAGGAAAAAGTTTATCGACCAAATTGGCGATATTTTGAAAATGGGCCACGTTAGAAGTACCCTTAACCGACGAGCATGTATGCGTAGATATATGGATGTAAAGGAGGCGAAAGAGGTATGTCAGGATCGTGCCAAATGGAAGTCCGTAGTCTCTGCCTACCCCTCTGGGTGACAGGCGTGAGTGTTTATATATATAATATATCTTATACTTAAATTAAAATATACATACTCCTGAAGAGAGTATAATATCTACCATATTCTCTTTTAATAATTGAACCCGTTTTTTATCTTTAGATTTTTCTTATTTAAGTACATAATATATTTGAACAGTTCTAATTTGCATTGTATTGATTGGATGATATTTGTGCTCTAAATTAACCCAAAATTGCACGACTCAATCTGTGAATGTTATGTACACTTGTTATTGATATACATATCAGAGAGTATAGAAATGTGTTTGTTTTAGTGATTTTCATATATGTGTATTGTAAGTGAACTTGTTAAATTAAAAAAAAACTCAGCTTCGATAGTTAGCTCTTTCTGGTAGACAGATCACTGGCAAAGACTTTGAAGCCCTGGTTCCGCTCGATCACTTCTTCTGTACGAGCTGTATAGAAGTTGCGTAAGTCCCACCGCATGAATTTGGAGATCTGTCTGTTCAGTTGCCTGTATGCGGTCAAATCTGCTAAGGGCTTCAGCTTAATCTCCCGTCTAACAACCATGAAATTAAGAGTGTCATCGGAGTGTTTTAGTGTTCTTCTGCAGTCTACGATCTTACAGATTTTAGCTCCGACAGCATGGACAGTTTCCGCAACCTTGTCATTCATATGTCCATTTCATTGCAGTCTTCAGTTTTCAGCACTTAAAATGAATTTGTAACTCTTTTCTGGGCTTTTTGAAAGTTTTCTGAGCTTTGGATTATAGCACGATGAGGACAGAGCGTTGACGTCATTAGACGTGACCTCTCTAACTTTACGCCTTGAATTTTTGATTGACCTTATTTCAGTATTACGAGTGTTTCAAATTTGTACCATTTTTCCCCACAAGTTTTCTATGGGATTTAAGTGTTAACTGTGAGCAGGAAAAGTGATTTGTGCGAAGTTTCTATATCTGCTTAAATAATTGAGTAAAATCTTGCAGTTTTGGACAGAACTGTGGCCGTAGAAGGAAGGAAAAGGGGAGATCTCCCGCCGGGCAAGTGTTCTGCCCGGGGAGCGGCCAACGCTCTGTGTGATAGATAGTTCGGAGATGTTCGCTGTTTATTGTTTTAATTAATGGTTATTAATTAATGGAACTTCCATTAACTCACAGAGCAAGGATGATTCTCCAACTTGACGGTGCACCTGCACATTTTGCAGTAAATGTGCGAAATTATTTAAATGAGCGCTATTCGCCGTGGATTGGTCGCGGTGGTAGGATCGCTTGGCCTCCGCGTTCACCGGATTTAACTCCCTTAGACTTTCTATGGGGCACTATGAAGCAAAGAGTTTATGCGAACGTGCCAAACTCACGAGAAGAGTTGATTAATAAAATAATCGAAGTTGGAAATGAATTGCGACAAGATCGGGAGATGATCAGGCGTGCAACTCAACATGTGGCAATAAGGGCTACAACATGTCTCCAACATCGCGGAGGTCATTTCGAACAGTTTTTATAAATAATTTAAATTTCACTCTTCTCATCAATTCACTTTGTCTGTCTGCAACCAGGGCGACAAATTTTTCAAAGGTCATATTCAAACAGTTATAATACTGATTTTTTTTCGGTTACAATTAAGATTTTTATGTTTTTGGTTAGGATATGTTCTGATCTATCTGATTAATGTAAAAAAAATCATTAGGTAAATGACTTCCTTTTTTTGCATTAAAGTCGAAAATGTGAAGAAATAACTGATTTTTTTTACATTTTTTTCTTTTCTGAGTCTTTTTAGGATCTAAATACAATTTTGCAGTTAAAAGTTTGCTTTTATTTTATTACGCGTATCTTTATCTATCCAATGAGACATCTTTTAAGAATGTAGGACTTCTACATCGGTGAATATTGTAATTTTAATGCGCGGGGTCGAGGTGGTGACACATAAAATTTAAATGGCTGCCATTTAAATACTAAGGTCTAAATGAGTTTTTAGACATGATTTGTCGATGAAATTGATTATATTTTATAGCATTGCAAAGCTCCGACACCGGTAACCGGACACACTATATATATATATATATATATATATATATATATATATATATATATATAAGAGCCGTGGTAGCTCAGATATTTAGCGCTCGATTGATCCCCGCCGGCACCAATGAAATTGTTAATTGCATTTTTAAGTGCTGATTTATCACGTGCTCGGCGGTGAAGGAAAACATCGTGAGGAAACCTGCATGTCCGAGAAATAAGAAAAAAAATTCGAAGACATGTGAAGTTCGCCAACACGTATTGGGGCAGCGCGGCGGACACTTCCTTGCCCTAAAACCCTCTCAGAAATGAGGGGAGGCCTGTGCCCAGCAGTGGGACGTATATAGGCTGTAACTTTACTTTACTTTAACTTTATATATACATATTTATACATATATTAATTTTCTACAAATATTTTTATTTATTATTCACCCGAAAATCACAAAACATGAATTTTATTCACTTTAAACCAAGAATATTTAATGTATTGAACAATATATATCTAAGCATATCTAAGCATAATACATTGTGCTTAGATATACGGAACGTAACTGGCTATGAGAGAGAGAGAGAGAGAGAGAGACAAAGAAAATGTGCGCGTGCACTGCTCTCTCTTGCTTACATCCCGCACTCAACTCCCGTTCGCCTCGCCCGATGACACTTTTCGTAACACTTTCATCCACGCGTTCGCGAGCTTACTCCCCAAGTCAAATGTGTGTTATAAAATTTATGTATATTTACTTTTTAATTATTTAATAACTTAATGTAATCATTCGAGTCTGATAACCTTTATCTATAGTGTACGCACAAGCAACCGCCATCTTTCAATCTGCCGTCCGAACTTTATAATGCTGATTAATTTTTACATGTAGTGCCGTAAGATATATGCAACTCTACATGGCGTTTTATTATCGTATCCAAATAAACATTCGAATACATTCAGTAGTTTAACCACAGGAAATTTATTTCGTTTTAGTAATTTTTGCACGTGATGTATGAACGTTGTACAAACGCACAGGGGTCAATAAACTGAGCATTGCAAAATAAAGAAAGCGTTATCACGCGTGGTTGACGTTTAATCGATAATTATATATTTATTCTGATTATAAAATTTACAGTTTTTAATTACGACATACGATCATACATAAATGTTGGACCTTATCCGACTTATTACGAAGTAGTTATGAATTAGTTTCTGATTTAAACTGTTTCAGAAATAATTCTATAGTTTCAATGGAGAAAACCTGCGAAAAAGTTGCAAACTAAAATGTACAGGTTTACATAATGATTTCTTATATTTACGCGAACAGCACACATTTAAATAAAACTTGTTATCACGAGTTTTATCGCGTATGTTTACTTTTTTGTTTTCCTTAAATATTTTTTATATTCATAGTGACTTTGAGGAGAAATACCATGCTTACTTCCCTCGTAAATTCAAGATTGGCTGCTGAACATGGGCGGCTCCCATAACTTCCCACACGCACAAGCCACCTTCACCCACCGACTCATTTCCTCCCCTTCGGCTGTCGCTAGAACAAGCGTATCCTCTTACATTTCTGTAATCGTTTTCCCGCAGTGTATAATTGTCACAGCGGTGTGCAGCAACATCGTGTGCAACATTGGCTTCGTATTTGCCTTCCCTGGTGTCCTTCTGCCGGCCCTCCACCGACCAGAATCAGCCATCCCGCTTACAACCGTAGAAGTCTCATGGATCGGTAAGATAAAAGCTTCTTACTTTACATCGTTGGCGGCGAAATAAGATTTGAAGAGGAAAAGAAAGAAGATTGCTGAGAAGAACATCATCTTTTATTACAATCCTTCTCAAGTCTACTGCTGAAAAGTCTATTTATTCTAAGGAATGCTATAAAACGCGGCCGTAAGTCACTTATTTTATACATGGTTGAGTCATGCTACAGCTATATTAGAAGTATAGTTGTAGCACGAATAAATCGGCTCGACTTTTTCTATTAAAAAAAAAACCTTACATTTCGCTTACCGGTGAGAGGTAATCACTAAAGAACCCTTTGTTCCCCATCGAATGTCGGTTCTTCGAGCTGTATGGCCGGTCCATAGTCACTTTGTCTTACTGATATGTTGGTTATTTTTGTTTGTGAATATTTAGAACATACAAACAAGAATCAAGAAGACCACCTGGTGATAAGTGTAAAGACAAAGACAGTTAAGCCATCGATCGAGCTAGTATGCATGTGTTGATCCACAAATAGATATTTAAGCGTGGTTGTGCCACGCTGCAGCTATATTAGTTGTATCATGAATGGGTAGGGGTTGACCAGGGTAGGACCACGCTTTGATTTGCTATTTTACGCTTTACCAGCGTAAAATAGCAACTCAATGCTGCTGTATTTCGTATGGTGAGCGTAAAGAAGTGGAGACCTCACTAGAAACGAGGCGTTCCACCTTAGTCGTCAGGGGTAACAACGCATCTGCCTTTTGATTATTAATTAAAGATAAATGTAGATATCTGTGGGCCACAGCACCCTCTTACCATAAAGTGGACTGTCTGCTCGTTTGTCACTTTCATTTTATAAAAAAAGAAGGCGAGTGCTCAGAAGTGGGATTTATAAATTTGTAAATTTTCAATGATTAAATTATTTCATCATTTAAACTATTCAATGATGAAATCAAAATGATTAAATTTCATTTGATTTAAATTTCAGCATCAATAATCAGCATCGGTATGCTGATAGGCAACTTCGTTGTACCGAGCATCACGGATCGTTACGGACGCAAGGCTGCGCTGATTAGCTCGAGTATTCCAGCTATTGTTGGCTGGTTCGTCATTGCTTTGGCTGTTAATGCCGAGGTATGAGTAAAATTATAATTGCTTTTATAAAACTTTCTTTAATATATATATATATATATATATATATATATATATATATATATATATATATATTACGAAGGGACTACCGTCGCCCATGAATAATTTCAACCCAGGGTAACATTTTTGTAATCTGCCATTTTTAGTGGATACATGTACAAAATTGCATTAACTTGATAGTACAGGAAAGGGTCAAGGCATGTACAAAATTTATACATGAAAAATGTCTTATTCTAATGTTAGTTTAACTTACATTATCTTTCCGTATTTTTTAGTGATCTCTCTTCTATAAGTACTAATATCAGTCTTAAACCCATTGAAGTAGTGAACTTACGCACGTTGTATAGGTATATTATTTCAATGCTTCAAACAATAATTACAATAGAAAATCCGCGTGTTTCTAAATTCACGAAACAGCGTTATTCTGCTGTTTAACACCCGCTGAACTACATGAACTACTGGTTGGTGGCAGAAATAGATTAGAGAGTGGTTCCTACCCAAACGGACTACTGTACAAAAAGGAGACTTACCACTAAGAAAATTGAGCTTAGATAGGGTTAATAAGTTCAGTTCCAACACGTTGCTCAATTGTGAATTCGTGGAATTCTCATAATGTAAAGCCAAAGTATTTCGTGGCAGATTTGTGCTGCAGCATGGCTCTACCACAAAAAAACTGAACCGAATGATTCGGCTGAACAGGCGAAGGACTGTGCTTACACAGAATATCGACATAAAAAGCAGCAAAATACTTCTGTGTTTCGTGTCGTGGGTCGTTTGACTCTTTTTACTGGAGGCATTGCGACTTAGTCCTCGAAAGAGAGCACATCTGCATTTTAATCCTTAAATGAGGATAAATGGAGGTTTCAATGAGCTTTAACCATTCAACTCTACTTCAAAAAAAAGGAAAATTAAATAACTTTCCAAAGCTGCGTATATTGGCAGCGTAAAATCCACAATCCCATATCATCCGTCCGTATCGTAAAAAGCGACAGAAGGAAATGCACAGGAGGTGGGCAGGAACTCAAAATAATAATTAAACTGCGGACATCAATCCGATTGCCAAACGTGGCACTTATAGTAAATATAGTCGCGTTTGAAGCAAATATATTGAAGAGGTCTATGTTTAGCAGTGGAATTTTGATTTTTGAGGCCATAATGGATTTACGAATGGATCTGTATCGTCACATTGTTTTTCAAATATTTTTGTCTATTGCTATTGAAGATGTGGTGGTGTGGTGGTGGTGGATTGTGGTGAAGAGAACCCATCACCCATTTCTTTTTGTAGGTGTCATAAGAGATAACTATGCGTAGTGCCAGAAAGATCCTATGCCCAACGTCATTCCTTCTCGTAAAAAGCGTCAAGGGTAACCTGAGATAAGAGATTGGCAGCAGCATCTTCCTGATAATAACACAATCGTAATAAATAAATAAATAAAACTGTCTGCTAAGCGTGGTTCATGTTCAGCAGTGCACTTCTGATGGGCTATCATGAATAAACGAAAGCCAAGTAGTTTTAATAATATATTGAATGTTACTTTAATGAAACAAATTAAAATGATGTACGTTTCTTTTATTTTTAAGATGCTGATATTGGCGAGATTCCTTCAAGGTGTATCAATCGGGTTTACGCTGCCGTTGCGATCAGTCGTTATTGCAGAATATGCAAGCCCCAAATACCGAGGAGGATTTCTTACAACCATATCACTGGCTCAAGGGGTTGGGATATTTTTGATACATCTCATAGGATCTTTAATTAGTTGGCAAAGGACTAGTGTTGTTTGTGGTGTTTTGGGCTTCCTGGGTCTTGTCTCAACCTTCTATCTGCCAGAATCTCCAAGTTGGTTAGCTGTAAGGGGTAAATATGAAGAATGTAGAAAAGCATTTCGCTGGATAAGAGGTGATGATGAAGAAAAGGAATTGGAAGAATTAATACAATCGAGAATTAAATTTAAAGAAGAATTAAACAATAAGGGACCACAAGTGAATCGTTTAAGAATGATAAAAACGGTTATGTACAAAAAAGAGTTTTATAAGCCTATAATATTAATAACGCATTGCTATGTGATGATTCAAGTATGCGGGAACGCAACGATGCCAGCCTTTTCAGTTCAAATACTAAGTACTATGATGGGCCCAAAGGCCAACGCGCATGCATGGATGGTTATTTTAGATTCGTTAAGAATTGTTGCTAATATTACCGCCATGTTCATAATCAACAGATTCAAACGACGTACAATTCTATTCGCAACTGGAGGACTATGTACACTTGTACATATATCAATAGCTGGATACGTATACGCTAAAACAAAAAACTTACTAATTTACGATGCGCAATGGATATCCGGATCTTTAGTGATATTACAATTTATTTGCATAGGTTTGGGAATGATACCAATGCCTACTGTGATAGCTGGTGAGGTCATACCGTTACAATTTAGAAGTATTATATCTAGTGTGTGCTCTGTGGTTCTTGCTATATTTATGTTCGCTGTACTTAAGACATTCCCTCTGTTATTTGATAGTATATATTTATACGGTACTTATGCTGTATATAGTAGTGTTTTGACATATGTTTTAGTTGTTCTATGGATTCTCTTACCAGAAACCAGTGGGAAGACTTTGGAGCAAATTGAAATTGAACTTAAAGGAAAAGATTTTCGGAACGAGGACCTCGAAGCAAAGGTCAGCCTAAAATCAGAACACGCTGAAGAAAACGGAAATAGTACAACTAGGTGAAGGAAATAATAGACTATTTAGAGAATAATATCATAGTTTGTTTGTTATTTGGACGTACGACATTTATCACAATTCTCCCTGAGGCCTTTATTATTGGAGAATGACAATTTTCACCGTTGGTCTTTATTAACTATTTATCTTTCATACAGTGCAATTGCAGTTATTAATTTTTTTAGCACAGAACACGTTTTGAAAAATACAAGATAAGTTTATAAAGTTTATAAAACTAGTCATCTCAAGTTTAAGTTTTGTAAATAAAATTATAAACAAATATAAAATTTTGTAATGTATTCAAAACGCAAGTTTTTTTCATAATGCCGATTTATAATTAATTGAAATGGAAAAAACAAACAATTTCAACTAAAAATTGAGGTGGATATTATCAAGTTACAGTATTAAATTTAAAAAAAAATTGGGAGCCACGTCTTGTGGCCTTCCCTTTTGTGTGCCTATTTTCTCTGGAGCTTTAACACTCTGATCCCTAATAAAGACATCTGCTTAATTGAGTCTATCTACACACCTATCGCTACCACCACCTTTATCTTCAAAACAATGGAGTCCAATATAAACCAGCTCATGAAGTACCTCGAGTAACACAGACAGTAATGTCCGCAGACCGTCACGATCATTTAAAAAATCTGTATCGTGGAGGCAGTTTAGAAACATAAATCTCACATAGACAAACATCCTCCATCTCACAGAATACCAGCGTAAAATAGCAGTTTAACGCTTTTTTGTTTCGTATCGTGAGTGTAGAAAAACGGAGACCCCTTTTACTGGAAACAAAACATTACATTTTACTCCTCACGGGTGACACTGCATCTGTATTTTGATTCATAGTAGAATAGTAGAGGGATAGAAAAATACTTTTGTCGTGCGTGGTTCGATCCCTCCACGTCTCAACTCAATGCTACGCTACTTCGTCACAGCCGTCGTATAATTCAGTTTTTTTTTTTTGCTTTTTTTCTAAGGAAGAGGGATTTTATAGTATAAGGGTGACAAATGAGCACACAGTCCACCCGATGGAACATGGATGCTTTAGCCCATCTAAACATCTGTACGTCTACATCTATCCTGGATTACGAATCAAAATGCAGATGTGTTGTCACCAGTAAGGACTAAGATGGAATGCCTCGTTTTCAGTAAAGAGGGCCTCCAGTTCTTGACACTCATCATACGAAACACATCAGCGTTTTGCTTTTCCACACTAATATTTTGAGAAAGTGTGGTCTTTCCATTTGTGTTACAACCCTAATAAAGCTGCAGCATGACTCGACTACGTAAAGAATTGGATGTATGTACAATTTTAATGGATCATTATTATAAGGGAAACTTATTAGTGTACCGGAGTTGAAACAAATACAACACAGGTGGATCAGCCTCACATGTTCACTAAGGCATGAGGCAGCTATTACTTTCCTTTCAACCACAACAGATAATATAACAGAATATAAGAAGTTATTTATTGTGCTAGTTGTAGGTTTTAGAGAACATTATACTAGTAATTAAGTGTCACTGCACCCTGCCTAGATTAAGGCTTACAATATTATTTAAATCTAGAAATTTAAAACATTATATCATTGACTAATCATGAGATCAAATCAATCAAAAAAAGCACAAAAGCGGACTTAACGCCTTAAGGTCTCTATCAGTCAACATATAAGAAAGCAGGAAACAGTTTCGTACTATATTCAGTCGTGGAGAGTCCTCTGTGTTCAGCGCTATGTTCCATAGTATACTTGAGCTGATGACGAAAACTTCTCTTCTCATATTTATAATCTCCACAATCCAATATTTAAATTTGTAGACAAAACACATGATGATTTTCACCACATCTCCGTAGAAATTATATAAATTTCATTCAATACAACTAGGGTCTGTTATATTATTCAATTGTACAGATTTTTCTAAATTAGTTCTCCCCCTGAACTGGTCTTCAATCTCTTGCAGCGTTTTATCCTTAGTCTCTGGTAATAACCACCAAGCTATAATCAAACAATAAACAACAACACCGGTGTAAATACAGTAGGCCCCGTGAATACCGACAGTTTTAAATAGAAACGGAACGGTTTTGACGACTATGAAGAAACTCAAGGAATTGAATAACACACTTATTCCTCCAGCTAAGCTTCTGAATTCTAGAGGAAATAGTTCTCCGGCTATTATGTAAGATAAAGGCAGACTACCAATTCCGACTGACAGCATATGTATATGAAGTAGAACGATTCCGATAAGGGGATGGTCATAACTCAGCGTATTGTTCTCTTTTAAGTAGGTATACACCGCTGTAACTAACATCGCAAATATGGCTAAAAATCCAGTCACTAATAACATGGTCCGCCGTTTTCTCTTTTTAATAAAATACACGCCTACAATATTCGAAACGATCCTTTGGGAATCTAAAGTAATCACTAACAATGCCAGATCTATCCCATCGCCAGTAATTCTTTCTAAAAGATCCAATGTATATGTTATTAGGATGTTTACACCAGCCCACTGCGATAGTGTGTAAATATGTATCATTATCAGAATCGGCTTGTAAAATTCCCTACTTTTTAACACTGTTTTAACGTACTCAATTCTCTTTCGCAGAACTTTCTTGAAATATACCGACGGCTTCTGTTCGCTTTTTGATCCTTTTACAGCTGCAACATCATCTATCATTCTTTGCAGCTCATGTTCTTCGTTATCATTACGTAACCATCTAAATACTTTCTTACACTCTTCAAATTTCCCCTGATCAGCTAACCAACTCGGTGATTCTGGTGACAGCAACACAATGATGAAATCCGCTAGAGTTATAAAAGCACAAATTACTGCCGTCGTCCGCCAGTGCAAATACGACCCTAATGTATGTGCAGTTAAAACTCCGATGGAGATCATTACTGATATTGCTGTCAGAAAAGCGCCACGATTCTTCGGACTTGTATATTCACCAATCAGCACCGGTCCTAGAGTTGTTCCCATACCCATTGATAGACCTTGGAGTAATCTTGCGACGATAAGCATTGTTACGTTAGACGCCAATACAATACATATCCAGCCTAAGATCATGGGCACAAGGCTAGCCATGTTAGCTATTCTTCTTCCGTATTTTCCCATTATAAATGGAATAATGAAATTTCCTCCAACAAGAGCAAAGCCTGCGACAGCCGCTGAAAGAATAAGAACATTAGAAGTAAATATTTGGGTTACATTTTATAGGTATTGGTCAGAAGAGAAGATTGGTTGGAAGTCCTTTTGTACCACCCTCTTACTTCACTTTGTCTGAAGAGTAATAAATAGACAGTATAATTACAGATTATATGGCATTCCCTTAGTCCCTTAGCCATCACAGTGAGACCGTTGGGTTACAGATTAACTGGGACAAAACGAAAATAATGACTAATCGTGAAGAAATACCTATATCCATACAGTCTCAAACTATAGAATATGTTACAGATTATACTTACCTCGGATATCTAATCTCAATAAAATCCTGTACAGAAAAAGAAATCGATAGAAGAGTAAAGAAAACGTGGAGTAAATTCTGGGCTATGAAGGAAATTTTCAAAGGCCCCATACCCACAAAACTGAAAACAAAAGCGATGAACATCTGCCTAACGCCGATTCTTATCTACGCATGCCAGACATGGTCCCTCAAAAAATCACTCTTAAATAAAATAAGAACCTGTCAAAGAAGACTAGAGCGGAGTTACATGAACATCAAATTGAAAATAGAGTCAAAAGTTCACTGATAAGGAAAAGAACAAAGGCGAAAGATGCAGTCAAACAGGTCCTGACATTAAAATGGAAATGGTCTGATTAAAACTACTTTTACGAATTTTGTCGCGTTTATTTTTATTTTTTTACTTTTTTATTTTTTAATTCCCGACGTTTCGGGCGCTTTCCAGCACGAAACGAAACGAAACGTCGGGAATTAAAAAATAAAAAAGTAAAAAAATAAAAAATAAACGCGACAAAATTCGTAAAAGTAGTTTTAATCATGTGCAATGTTCGCGTAAATATAAGAAATCATTATGGAAATGGTCTGGTCATATTCAGAGAGCTACGGATCAAAGATGGTCACAAATAATCACAAATTGGTACCCAATATATAAAAAACGAAGGAAAGGTAGACCATTTAAAAGATGGAGTGACGACATCGTAGAAATAGCCGGAAACTTATGGTCGAGACGGGCAAATGATAGAGCCACCTGGAATGGTTTGGAGGAGGCTTTCACCGCAAAAGGCGGCCCTTACACCTAACAATACTAACCTTATTTAAAAACAAAACTAACATTACTAACAAATAAATAAATAAGCATACATAATAATAGATAAGAAATACATACATGTAAGGGATAAAATAAAGCTAATAATAATAATAATATGGCATTCCATCTCAGTTCACAGAGATGATCTTCTTTGATTGAAGTTTGTTGCAGACGACCATGGGATGCAGTAGTCACTTACCACCGGGTGGCCTCTTAGTTCATTAGATATTGTTAACGGTTCCAGCCCACCCAGTATGGTGACAACAAACGCCTCGTTGGGTCAGTGGCCATTAGCGCGACCGCTAATCACGTTTTCTTTAGCTCGAATCCCGGGACGAGGCCAATTCAGTTATTATGCTTTTCGGTAAAGAAAAAAAGAGTCAGAAAGTTGGTGGTGTTTCACCCCATTGTCTAGGAAACCACGTAAAGCTGTTGATCCTGCATCTGATCTTTGACTGTCCTGTCGGATTACCATTCCATCGAATTATGAGAGGGAAGGAATAGAGACACACATTCTATAAAGCTCTACGCAGATGGCTGGTCTCCGTTGAGATTGGCCGCCGTGACCGAAATTCGGTCTAGAGGATATTATTACTATGAATATGGACAAACATTTCGAGAATTACATTCTAACAGAACACAAGCGTAAAATAGCAACTTAACGCTATATTGTATCGTATGGCAAGTGTAGAAAACCGGAGACCCTTCTTACTAGAAACGAAGCATTCCATATGAGTCCTCACGGGTGAAAAAATCGGTTAATCGAGGGAAAGTGTAGATGTTTATGGGCCACAGCATTTACTTACTATCATCGGGTGGACTGTGTGCTCACTTGTCACCTTTATTCTATAAAAATACACAACACACTATGTCCATCAGTTGACTTATTAAAGCTATTTATGTCATTGTTTATATTGTACATTTTCATACTTACCAACCCAAGATCCTGAAGAGTCATTAATTGGTATGGTAGAGTCCTGTTTACGAAGTTGTGGCAGTAAGATCGCCGCAAACCCATTTGCAAGACCATGTCCCGCTAGGTTAAGTGTCACACCCGTAGTCACAAAGCACTGTGGAAGAAACGCATAATATAATGGGAGAATAATAATCATACACCAATAGGGTCATCTTTCTCTATATCGATAGTGGATCCGTTAGTGATCAGGTAACTTCTAAAGAACTTTTTTGTCGAGACCATAATTTATAGTTAAGCTTGGATCCTTTGACCTTTACCGCTACAGTCTTTAACAAAGTCTACTGCTGAACGTAGAGGTCTTCCCCATAGATTGCATCTTAGGAAGATATTTTTATTATTATTATTTATTCATTGTTCAGGTTAATACTAAGTGAATTTTGTTAGTCAACTAACTTTAAATTAGTAAATTAACAGAAATTATTATATACAAATTGCTCTTGGCAGGCGCGCTAACATCCACAGTTTCTTATTTTTGTTGTCATTGAGAAACCGTTACTGCCCATCTTTTGGTTTGTTTCCTCTTTTCTTTTTCTGTTTGTTTTTCTGTCGCTTTTTACGACACCCACGGCTTAACATGAGCTAGTGTACATTTAACACCTAACTAACACCGCCACTCAAGTGAAGCTATTAACATGAGCTAGTGTACATTTAACACCTAACTAACACCGCCACTCAAGTCAAGCTATTAACATGAGCTAGTGTACATTTAACACATAACTAACACCGCCACTCAAGTCAAGCTATTAACATGAGCTAGTGTACATTTAACACCTAACTAACACCGCCACTCAAGTCAAGCTATTAACATGAGCTAGTGTACATTTAACACCTAACTAACACCGCCACTCAAGTCAAGCTATTAACATGAGCTAGTGTTACATTTAACACCTAACTAACACCGCCACTCAAGTCAAGCTATTAACATGAGCTAGTGTACATTTAACACCTAACTAACACCGCCACTCAAGTCAAGCTATTAACATGAGGTAGTGTACATTTAACACCTAACTAACACCGCCACTCAAGTCAAGCTATTAACATGAGGTAGTGTACATTTAACACCTAACTAACACCGCCACTCAAGTCAAGCTATTAACATGAGGTAGTGTACATTTAACACCTAACTAACACCGCCACTCAAGTCAAGCTATTAACGTGAGCTAGTGTACATTTAACACCTAACTAACACCGCCACTCAAGTCAAGCTATTAACATGAGCTAGTGTACATTTAACACCTAACTAACACCGCCACTCAAGTCAAGCTATTAACATGAGCTAGTGTACATTTAACACCTAACTAACACCGCCACTCAAGTCAAGCTATTAACATGAGCTAGTGTACATTTAACACCTAACTAACACCGCCACTCAAGTCAAGCTATTAACATGAGCTAGTGTACATTTAACACCTAACTAACACCGCCACTCAAGTCAAGCTATTAACATGAGCTAGTGTACATTTAACACCTAACTAACACCGCCACTCAAGTCAAGCTATTAACATGAGCTAGTGTACATTTAACACCTAACTAAAACCGCCACTCAAGTCAAGCTATTAACATGAGCTAGTGTACATTTAACACCTAACTCACACCGCCACTCAAGTCAAGCTATTAACATGAGCTAGTGTACATTTCTAACACCGCCACTCAAGTCAAGCTATTAACAAATTCTATATTTATGTACTAAAATGGCGCATAATCGGAATATGCATATTACGTAACTATAATCCCGAAAAAAGCAAGTTGCTGAATCTGTACCTGATGAAATTTCTACTAATAATTCTACAATTAATTTGGTGTGAAACTCACGCATAAAAATGCGGAAATTATTTTTAATTCGGGACCAAATGTTCTAGTGAATAATTCACCTAGAATATTCTGGGCGACTTTTTATGAAAAAGTATGAAACGTCTGCTGACCAGCAAGATTCTAAATAAACGGCTTGTCCAAAATAGCTGGCAACTTATTTGTACGTCAAACCGAAGTTGTGACAATGAGCAGTAGTGGACGTATGATGATAATTAAACATTGGTGGTAGGTCTAAGATAATTGTAGAACGAATCCTGGAATTTGTAAAAGAATATATAAAAAGTTACAGCCCTTGAAATGTGGTCCTACAGTTGACAAAGCCAGCTCCCGAAAAGTATCTTAAAAATGAAGTTCATGTGGTTAAAGATATTTAGTAAAGAATTTGTAAAGCTTACTTTACTAAGTAACAAGTACAAAGTGTTAAAGATAACAAGAAACTAATATCTAAACTGTAATCTCTCAGTCCACACAATCTTTTTATACATTAGTAAAAATTTCTTAATTAAATTACTTCTTTCAGTTAAGGTTTAGTAAAAAATAAGTAGGCCTTAAAGTATTTTGTAAAAAAATAAGTAGGTCTAAATATTGCCGCAATTTTAAGATAGCTACTATTTAAACTGGTCCCTCATTCTACAACTTTCCAGAGATATATCGTGTGCTAACTGTGTGACGAAAGGAATATAAGAAAGTGTAAGTGTTCTTACCTTTTAGTAAAAGTTTTCTACTTAATAATAGAAAACTTTAAATTTATATTGATAACTTATTAAATAAGATAATCACATTTCATAAATTCTATGGAAATACACCGGTTAATGTGAACACAACGACATTTTTTTATTTTTCTCGAACATCTTTTTTATTTTTTACATAGCTCGGAATGGAAATGCGAATTTCTATCTGATTTGAAGAATTACCAGCGTGGTCCCTCAGTGCTCAGAGGATGTACATAAACATATGTCAAGCCGTATCGGGCCCCAAACACGAACAAACAAAATAAGAAACGACGTTCATTGCATTCAGTGCAATTTTCAACCGACTTCAAAAAAGGACGAAGATCACAATTCGACTCTATTTTTTTATGTGTGTTATCTGAGATCATTTTTCTAGGTGAATCGATTTTGATAATTCTTTTTTATTTAAAAGCTGGCGCTTCTCATGTGATCCTATATATGATATCTTTTCATATCTTGATAATTTGATCAAGATATGACCAGCAGGTTACCCTTAATAATTCGTATTTAATTGTTCTCGAATACATTGATAATGTTCTCATTTTATTTACATTGAAGTCGGTTGTACAATTTTGTTTTAATTTTACCGCATGTCACTAACGAGCATCGTAACTACGTCCTACCAGTGATGCAATATCAAAAGAGACATGTTACTCAGGGAAATAGATTTTATAAATTCTTTACTAATTATCTGTAATCACATCAACTTCATTTTTAAGATACTTTCCGAGATCTGGCTGATGTCAGAAAGTATTGGCTGTGTCAACTTAGGGACCGCACTTTAAGGGCTGTATCTTTTTATATATTATTTTACAAATTTCGGGATTTGTTCTACAATTGTTTTGGGTCTATTACTAAATCCTTAGCAATTCATTTCGCAAATTTCCAGCTTGGTCCGTCAGTGCTCACACACATGAATATTATGACGTTATATATACAATGTATAACATCATAATCTCAATCACGTCCAAATAGTAACCTAGCTGGTGTAAATCAGGACAATCAGTAAAATTTATTATAAAGGTTATCCAATGATAATCCAATGTCAGTAGATCAGTAGAACATTAAAAATAAATTATTACTAAAAATGAAACAATTTAGTGACTATTTCACAATAATTTTGTAAATTGCCGTATTTTATTTACTGGCCACGATGAACTATTTAAATCCATGGTTCGACTTGTAATCCTAAATTCAAATAAATGGCATTGTATTCCTTTTCTTCATTTGTTTCCTTGGATTTTTTACCTAACTGCCCAAGAAATACGGTAATGTTTTTCGAACATTTGTGTGTAAGTATGTCTTTTTCTTTGGCACTCTCTGGAGCCTTATCGACCAAATTGGCGAATGGGCCACATTAAAAATACCCTTAACCGACAAGCATGTACTTGTATATGGATGTATAGGAGGCGAGAGAGGTATGTCAGGATTGTGCCAAATGGAAGTCCGTAGTTTCTGCCTGCCCCTCTGGGTGACAGGCGTGAGTGTTTATGTTATATTTATGTTTATATTATGATTTTACCATAACAAGTGTCTTAATTGTTTCATACTATATTCATGTGTTGCATCTGTAAATACAAAAAAAGGGAGGGCATGGTTTTTGAAGTAAAACTCCATTACGCAAGCTTCACTTGGGGAATAAGCTAGCGAACGCGTGACGAAAGCGTTACAAAAAGTGTGATCGGGCGACGCGAACGGGTGTTGAGTGGGGGATATAAGCAAGAGAGAGCAGTGCGCGCACAAATTTTGTTTCTCTCTTTCTGTCATAGCCAGTTACGTTTCGTATTTTATGAATTAATATTTTGTTCAATACATCAAATATTCTACGTTTAAAGTTTGTGTTTTGTGAATAATCGAGTGAATAATAACAAATTATGGATAATAAAATTAATTTGATGATGATAAACAATATATATATATATATATATATATATATATATATATATATATATATATATATATATATATATATATATATGCTTATATAACATACAGATGGAGCTAAAGAAGTTTTACTTCAGTCATGTGGCCATAAGCACACTCGTTTTTTTATTGTTCAGTAACCTTTTTAACTTAGTCGGATTTTTTAAATTCCTATTTTAAACATTAAACCTGTTTTTGATTTAATAAAACCATGAACTTTAAAAAAATAAATTTTTGATTATGGGTTTCTATGTGGAAACTATGCATCTTAAATGGCACGCCATATTAATGACGTATACGTTTACCCACACTACTGGAAATAATAATTACTTCAATCGCTTTTGTATCAGAAATTTTGACCATTAACAATTGAATTTGGTTATTATGCTAAATATTAACGAACTGAAGGCGCGGAAGCGGAAGCGAGTCCGTCTCAAAAGAGTCGGTTTTTCATGTATCAATACAATATAAGATCATTTGCGCAATATTGTTAAAATAAATCGTTTTTATAGTGGATGTTTGTTGATCAATAACCACATATCTAATGTTATTATATCATCATATCATATTTTGTTTAAGTTAACTCGCTCGACCAGGGAAGGACCACGCTCTGACAGAATGCCAACGTAAAATAGTAGCTTAATGCTGCTGTGATTCGTATGATGAGTGTAGAGAACCGAATACTTACAGTTAATGAGGAATTCCATCTCAATTCTCAGGGGTTACAACGCATTTGTATTTTGATTCTTCATCGAGGTTAACTGTAAATGTCTATGGGCCAAAGTATCCACTTACAATCAGGTGGACTGTGTGCTCGTTTGTCATCCTATACTATATTAAAAAGCGGTATAAATCAGCTATATTGCGATGAGATACGATACGTTTTTGCATCCTTTCCTTGACGGGTGGTCTTTCTTTCTTATGCGCATCCGTCTAACTGCATGGATGTTATAACCGTTGTTACATCAAGCTATGGAGCTGAAAAGCGTAAGCATTTAGCGCATCTATCCTAGATTGACGCTTGAAACCGCAAAGATCTTAATATCAGCTCCAAAAAGATTGCTGTCCACTCCAATACGCCAAGTCCTACGAAAAAGCGGTACCGGAAGTCGCAAAACCCTCTGCCAGACCATCCGCAATAGAGCTTGGTATCTTGCCAAAGCGGTCGAGACAAACTTTTGTTGATCTACACTCTTTCCGCTGGTAAAACCTGATAACACGGATAAAGAGAAAGCGGACTTGTTTACGTCTCTTTTTGTCTGCAATTCACGTCTGGACAGTGGCAACAACGTTCCATCTGAATTACCTCACTGCGGGACCACTATGTTGGAGGTATGTATGAGTATCAAAAATAAGGGAGTTTTTAAAATTTTGCGCTGTCTAGAGGTGAACAAAGCTAGTGGACCAGATGTTATACTAGCTATATTTCGTAAAGCTTGTACACCTGAGTTGTCTTCTGTATTGACATGTTTCGCCTCTCACTTAGGACTAAAATAGTGCCAAAATCCTGGCAGATGGCCAACGTGCAGCCTACTCCAAAAAAAATCTGTTGTGATGATCGTGCAAGTTATCGGCCATTCTCAATTACCATCATACTCTGCAAGATTATGGAGCGAAACGTAAAGAGTCACTGATTTTATATACTCACCATACGAAACACAGCAAACTCAAACTGCTATTTTACTCTAGTATTCAATGAGAGCGTGGTCCTACCCTGGTCGAGCCGACCCATTTGGGCTAAAACCACAATAAAGCTGCAGCGTGGCTCTACTATATAACAAGAACCTTTATCCCCATGTTATTATTAAAGTTCATACCTGTTTCACGAATGGAGTAATCCATTTTGACTTCGCCATCTTGCGTAAATTGGCTGAAAAATTTTTCCGAATATAACGCACTACACTAAAATAGAAGCTGTTACCAAGATTTTACAGAAATGATACTTTCATAATTTTTAAAAACCACTCTTTAATATATTTTAACTTAAGTTTATTTCTACAATAAAACATGAATCGCTCGATTATTTTGTATGTACGAGTATAAATAATTGCGATAAGTAATTGTATTATTAACAGATCTATGTGAAGTATTACTCAAGTACAGTTAGAAGCGTGTAATTCGTGACACCCGCAATTAGACATGTGTCAATCATTCATCTCTAGCGACCAAATCATTCTAGTACCATTCGTCACGCGTACTGCTTGGTACATTCGGATCGATCATTCAAATGGATCATTTCGGGCTCCAGTACTCTGTGAGTGTGTGAGATCAATTGGGAACCAAAATTATTCTATTTGACTTTGTAATAGCGCCATCTACTACATGCTATAGGTAATAAAGTCATTTTATCGAATTAAAATGTATTAGCTTTCAAGGTGGTATAAGTACAATCAACGCTAGATGACATAAACACAAAAACTTCAAGTGATACAATTGATTTGGTTGATAACTTTATCCAATATTAATATATATTTTTAATATTTAATAAATTTTATAAATTTGTCATTTTTAAATTTCATTCCTAACAAAACACAATTTTATCTTGCTTTACATGTCTAAAAATAAGGATTGTAACATTTATTTGCTTGCTACAAAATTAAACTTTTATTTCATACTTATATATGATGGTTCAAAAGTATCATATTAAATAAATCATTTACCGTGAAATCTTTTGAAGTGTTATTTTTAGTAAACCCTACGAAATTATATTTTTAACTTATACATGTAACAAATAAATATAATAAAAAGTAAAATAATTTTTAATTTAGGTACTTAAAAATTATTTTACAGCTATATTAAAAATTATTTTACATATAATATAATAAAAAACCGTTGAATAGTAAATAATCCTGATACTCTAATACTCTGCAGTCTGCATTGTTTATTCGATTCGCCTGTTTATTCAGATCATTCGGGATTCGGTCGGTTTTCGGCTCATTCACAATTCACACCAATCACGAGTTAAAAAGGTTCCGTCAATTGTTTGTGATTGGTTGTACCGGAACATTCAAAAACAGATGAATGAACCATCAATACTTTTAAGTGTATCAGCTTAAACGAACGACTCATTCATGATTGACACATGTCTACCCGCAATTTATTCCCTATAAATTGTGCCCAACCAAATAACTTACAAATAGTAACCGGATAGTTTAACTGACTATGACATAACCTTTCCGAATAAAGGCGGCATAAGATAACTGGGTTTTCAAATGCTTATTAGGCTAATGTTGGCAAAACTTTAAGTACGTAACAAATGGATGGAAATATATATATTTCAAAAAGATTTCATTTTTTCTATATAATATATAATTGAAGGGACCAATTGAACATGAAAGTGGATAGATACATTTTTAATATACAACACCATCCATCCCCCTCTTTCAGTTGTTCATCACCATCGATGAACAACTGAAACAGAAGGGGAAGTTCAGGTGGATTGACGACCTTTTAAAAAAATGATGGCTCCGGAACACAGCAACTGTGTGGCGGCAGAAATTAGAAATATTAATGGAAGCATCACCATTATCATCATCATCATCATTACAATGTATTACGGGTCTATTACTGAATATGACCTTCTATTCTAGTATGAATATATATGAGTATGACCTTCTATTCTAGAAGGCTAGTACGACCTCCCCTTTCAGGTGACCGCGGAACTGATCGTCATTCGATATGTTGACGCGGAAGAGTTCAATGCTTGCTAAGGCAACAAGACAACAAGAGATAGATTTTTACGCGTCTATTACATTGTGTGGTTCGTCTTTGTAAGGGTCTTTTAAAAATATTGGAGCCATTGTACAATACTTTTTTGATTCAGTGGTTCGTTTGAGAAATATTCAGCTTTATAGTGGTATTTTTCATCAGGTTCATGTGTCCCTCCCTCTACCAACCAAACTGCTAATTTTAGGAATATAAAAAGCATGCACGATGATATTATATAATTTTATTATTGAAAATAATTACACTTATGTAGGCATAATAAGTAAATGAGTAACAGTCGATTTAAAGTGCACTTGGATTAGTAAAAATTTCGTTACATTTTCATGGAAAATTACCTAAAACTATATGCATTAAAACTTTGTAATGTTGAACTAAGCTGTAAAAAATAATCATTTTCTGAATAAAATGACTTATGCATTACTATTATAGCTTTAAGTTTGCCTTTTCGGGGTAGGCAGAGAGGATCGATCGCCAAGAGACCGATCCCGACATACCACTGTCGCTTGTTTTTAATTTGTAGTTATTGTAGGCCTACAGTTTCATTAAGAAGGTGGCCAACATAAACCAAAATTACCACCTTTCGGTGAGGGTAGAGAACAGAGAGTCATAATAGATGAACAGGGAACTATGATCATTTTTCTACAGACTCTGCGTGTGAATGATATCTTGTAGATTATATTATTTTTTATATCGAAAAGTTTCTTTAATCATTCTTGAATACCACTTCCAAAAATTCTTCTTGGAAAATATGTTGTTTAGTTACCATCGACCTATTTGGTAAATTTTATTCGTTATATCGAAATATATAAAAATTTTATTCGTTATATCGGTCAAACCGCAATCTTACTTAATATGCTCATAGTACAAGAAGGCCCCCTCTATGCTCACGTATTCCGACGGGCACCTATCGAGGGAATAATAATAATTTTTTATTTCATTTCCAAAATTACACATGTTTACATACAGGAACAATTATGATTACAATTAATTTAAAAAAAAATGTGACAGGTGACAACTATGTTTATTTTGAAAATGAAACGTTTATTGTTGTCATGGATTTAAATAGTATAACAGTGGTCTATATAATATTTGAAATTAACTACGAGACATAAAAATATTTCAAAATTGTGACATTTGAATTTTGACATTGTAAATTGTTTTATTACATTTGTAACAAAACAATTCATCATCACCATCATCATACAGCCCTTCACAAGTCCACTGCTGAACATAGGCACAGTCCTGAGCCACCTGCATCCATCGACTTCCTACATATCTTACCAGGTCGTCACTACATCTAGTGGGGGGTCGCCCTACACTACGCCTACCGGTACGAGGCTGCCACTCGAGAACCTTTCTTCCCCATCGGTTATCGGTTCTTCGAGCTATATGGCCGGCCCATTGCCACTTCAGCTTACTAATCCGTTGGGCTATGTCGGTCACTCTGATTTTACTGCGGATATCCTCATTTCTGAGTCTATCACGCAGAGAAACTCCGAGCATAGCCCTCTCCATAGCTCGCTGAGCGACCTTGAACGTCCTCATACGGCCAGCAGTGAAGGACCACGTCTCAGATCCGTAAGTCATCACTGGCAACACGTACTGGTTGTACAATCTAGTTTTTAGAAATTGAGGTATACCTGACGAGAAGATATGTCGTAATTTCCCGAACGCTGCCCAGCCGAGTTGAATCCGTCGATTGACCTCTCGGTCGAAGTTGGACTTACCTAGTCGGACTATTTGTCCCAGGTAAACGTAATCGTCAACAACTTCGAGCATAGTGCTCCCAACAACTACCGGCATAGGTGTGACATAGACATGAAACATAATCTTTGTTTTGTCCATGTTCATCTTAAGACCTATCCGTTGGGAGGCACTATTGAGGTCATTGAGCATAATGCTTGTCCTCCAGCGATTCTGCCTTAAGGACTATATCGTCGGCAAATCGAAGGTGAGTGATGTACTCGCCATTGATGTTAATACCGTATCCTTTCCAGTCCAGTAGCTTGAAAACGTCTTCCAATGCAGCGGTGAAGAGTTTCGGGAATATAACATCACCCTGTCTTACATCTCTCTGCAGTTGGATAGGTGTTAGCTCTGGTTCTGTACTCGGATAGCCATCGTAGCCCTACTGTACAAACACTGCAGCACTTTGATATACTGACAGTTAACTTGGCACCGCTGAAGGGACTGTAGCACCGCCCAAATTCCAACCGAATCAAAGGCTTTCTCATAGTCCACATACGTCAGGCAAAGTGGCAGATTGTACTCTTCGGTCCTCTGTACAATCTGCCGCAAGGAATGTATGTGGTCTATGGTACTGAAGTCTTTTCGGAAACCGGCTTGTTCGGGAGGCTGGAAGTCGTCGAGTCTGCGTGCGAGACGATTCGTAATGACTCTCGAAAACAGCACGTAGACGCGGCTCAGAAGGGAAATCGGTCTGTAGTTCTTCAAGAGAGCGTTGTCGCCTTTCTTAAAGAACAAGACCACCGCACTTCTGCTCCACGCCTCTGGAGTAGTGCCACCATGGAGGACGGAATTGAAGAGCTTCTGAAGGACTTCAGGTACCGGTGTTCCACCCGCTTTCAGAAGCTCCGCTGTAATTCCATCCTCGCCTGGGGCCCTGCCATTTTTAAGGTGCTGGAGAGCCATTCTAATCTCGCTTGGACTGACGTCCAGGATATGATCGGAATAGTGTCGGATAAGACTTGCTCTTGGATCGTTACTCACACTTGCGTGTGGCTCCAACGATGATTTGTACAGCTGCCCATAGAACCTCTCAATCTCACTCAAAATCTCAGGTGTCCCGGGAACGATGCTGCCACACTCAGTCTTCAGCTTCGACAGTTGGCTCTTACTGGCAGACAGATCTCTGGCAAAGACTTTGGAGCCCTGGTTCCGCTCGATCGCTTCTTTAATACGAGCAGTATTAAAGTTGCGTAAGTCTCGCCGCATGCATTTGGAGATCTGTCTGTTCAGTTGCCTGTATGCTGTCAAATCTGTTAACGATTGCAGCCTCATCTCCCGTCTAACAGCCATGAGATTAAGAGTGTGATCGGAGAGTTTTTGTGTTCTTCTGCTGCGGGTCTTGCAGAACTTAGCTCCGACCGCATGGACAGTTTCCACGAGC